GAGTTCTACAAATCCTCTTGAGGACTTCTAGTACTCTAATTAAAGATACGATCAAGATCTACAACTCTTATGTTGGCTAAGAATCCATTTGAAAACTCCTTGATAGGCAAAAGTTGCTTGGAAGTCAAGTGACTTTCACAGATAAATTTCAGTGTCCTCTGGGGACCCATAACTTGCAAGAACCATAACTTGAGTTCTATAAATCTCCTTGAAGACTTATAGTACTCAAATTAAAGCTATTGAGATGTTATACAAGTTTCATGTTGACCAAGAATTCATTTGAAATTTTCATTTTGACTTATCTGGCTTGGAAGTTAAGCCTAAATTAGGGTTTTTTTACACTGAAACCCTAATTTAGTAACTCCTCTTCTTCTTGATTCTTTTTGATTTCTCCTTGGCACAACACCACACTTGTATTCACATATCAATTCATGAATTCCACAAACTCCAAGTAGGCCTTGATGCCCTCCAATCAACCATTTGACCTAGGGTTGACCCAGATGAAACCCTAGTTGACTGCATTCAACTGTAGCTCTGGTACTTGTATTAATGATTTGTCTCATCTTCAAAATGACCCTCTAGGTCTTCCATGATCTTTGTACACCTTTCATGGCTCACACACTTATTGATGATCTTCAACATATCCCCAAGATTGGGAGAGAAATCCACTGGTTGACCTTTAAACTTTTCAAAGCTTCAACTCATTTCTTGATTACTTGGATGGTCTTGAACCTGAATAAAACCCTTTGATGGGCCTCATTCTGATAAGAATGGCACTTGGTCCCCTGTTAGATGACTTGTTATACTATGCTATGCAAATGATTAGACTATGTACATGACTTATTATGCAAATGACAATGCAATTGAAACATAAACCAAGTGAAATAGGTTGAGCAAATTTTATGGTGCAACAATAGTCCCCTCTGCTATATGTTCCAAATGTGGCCTTGAAGCATAGCCATTCCTTCATTGTGTTCGTGATTGTAGGATTCTAGAAGCCTTTGGTTGTATCTTTGGTTTAATCATTCAAATTTTTTCTTGATTCAAGACGGAAATGCTTGGATATAAAAAAAGGAGAGTTACGGTATCCATCATTACCTATTTGCAGCAGGAGTTTAGTGGACAAGGAGAAATGATAACTCAACATGCATATCTCGTTAACCCATTCTTAGATATCGACTCTCCTTGGCTGCCCACTCCATGACAAACTTCTTTCACTTTTGCTTCACTAAACCTCACACAAGGCCCCCAAAATACTGTTTCATCAAGTGAGACTACCTCAACTATGCTTGCACCATTATTAGTGTAGATGGAAGTTATAATAGTATGTGAACTCGTACGAGATTCAGAGGTACCTTTCGCACCTTTTCTAGGACATGGAAAAGTGGCTTCTCTGGATTCATCCCAAACTCTTCAGATATTCTCCAAGCAGAGATTTGGGTCATCCACAAAAGTATCTCTCTAGCCAAAGGTATGGCCATTATCGACTTAGCTTGCTACACAAATTTTGCCCTCAATATTAGCCTCATCGAGACTCCATTAAATAAGTAACACAAGCATATTGTGTTGATCCAAAGTATAAAATATATTTTATTTGAAAACACGATGTTTTGATTAATTCAAACCCTTTGCTGTGGTTATCAAAGTGCCACCTTTATGAAAAAAACTTGGTGCATCTACTAATGTTGATCTCTTGATTAACAACTCACTTCCTTTTGGATTGAGTGACATTCTTACAACATAAGCGACAAGAAATTTAATATTTAAGGCTATAGTTTTTTTTATCTTTTTCTTCTTTATTTATCTTTGTAAACCAAAAAAAAAGTTGTCACTCTATTTTTACTTCAACAAGTCAAATTTATTTTTACTTACCCATTCTTCTACTATCTCGGTGGGAATATACTACATTTGGAATCACTTTTTTTAACTCTATCAAAATCTTCTTCAAAATTTCCAACAAAATCATCAACTTTTTCTTCCTTCCTCAAGACCACCTACTGATGCAAATGATCTTTCCGAAGAAAAAATTGAACTTTGCAACACCCTCACCATCTCCACTTCTTTGAACAAAATAAGAAAGGAGAAGGCCTCCACATGTATCTTCACTAACTCGCCAACCTCACAAGGAGAAGAAATTAACACTTGCACTCTTCCATATTCATAAGATTCTTGAGCAATGGTTCTTGCATCCACCATTAACACACTCCCAAACAAGCTAACAAGCCTTCAAAAACACGAAAAACATTTCTATATCTTATACCTCTTTTTTGCTGGAATGAAAACATCCATTACCGGTGCGAACAAAGCAAAAACCTTCTTTAAATCCCACTTTGTTGCTATGTCTAGAAAGTTTAAGAAGAATAATGTGTACCACCCCTTTTCCTTTGAGTGAATAAAGCTCGGGGGACTCATCACCTCCGCCGTAGGGATGCAATGTGACATCCTAGAATCTCGACTTTCTAATTAAAGAAATAAAAAATATTATTCTCAAATAAGGTGCTACACATTCATATTCTTCCGGTTAAAACAATTTAACATGCAACAAAAATTCAACATTTAATAACAATACTTCAAATTATCTCTTCAAAATGAAATACTTAATAATATAAAAAATTTAAAATCTTCAACTCAAAACAATAACGAAACGAATGATTCTCAGTGTTACAGATCAGAGCAACCGAAAACTAAATAACGAGAAACGATAAAGAAACGAAGAAAAACCTCAATTTCATCTTTCAGCACACAACAACTATTGCTCCTCTTGAGTATTTGTACCACAGTGTAAAAAAACACCACAAACAAACAAAAGAGGGTGAGAATATCCTCAAATATACTAATGGTGCAAAACATATAAAGGGTAGTATCAAATAACAAGATCATCAAACACACATTTTATTTGCAAAAACAACAATAACCAATTCACAATACCTTTAAGTATGCAATGTGACTCACTACTCAACTCAATCCATGTTACCAAACTGGACATCAGAAGTATGTTATTGATCTTTTCCACTTAAAAAATTGTTCCTATTCGAACCAGGTTCCCACTTTTAAACTCCACTCGTCATTGATCTCCACTTCTAAATCTGCCACTCGTCACTGATCCCCACTTTTGAATCAACAACTTATCCCAGGACCAAAGTCCACATATCAATCACTGACACATATGATGCATGACATATAAAATAATGCAACAATACTTAAGGTTCCACTTTTAACCATATGCAACAACGTATAAGTCAATCATAATAGTTCTCAATCCGAACTACATATCTCAACATTAACAACATATAATTATAACTTATCATATAATTATGCACTAATTTCACAACATATATTCACACATCGAACAAAGTATTCCCATAAAACTTAAGCAAATAAATTTATCTAATTAAGCACGACCAAATAACAACCAACATTCGATAGAATCGGAGACAGACCGACAATTCGAGTCAAAAACAACAACTTTGCGCTGCCACGCTCGGTAAGAAAGAACCGAAAACCAGAAAACATCACAATCTTCCACAACTCTTCACACGAGCGTCTTCCTCTTAAAGCAAGGTCTCGTTAAGCGACGTCCATCCGCGCTAAACAAAGTCACCCATAACTGCAAAAATTAGAAACACGATTCCACCATTTGAGCCTTATCGAAGCTCCGATTTTGATCCATAACCACCTAAATCGAACAGAAGATGACATATACATATCATACTATGTTTATAATATCAATTAGCCACTAATTTATCATCTAAATAATCAATCTAATCCAAATCTTAGAGCATGTTTATCAAATCAAAATTCCATGAACATGAACATTCAAACTTAGATTTGCACATATGTATCATACATGAAATTCATCAATAAAAATAGAGCAAGAATTTCATAACAATTACAATAATTTATCACAAATTTCACACAACTTTTTTAAAAAACACATAAGCTTCAACAACAGTGAAACAAATGAGAAAACATAAAGGAGTGTGAGGATCCTTCACTATCCTTCATGCATTTGACACTAATATTAAAATAAGTTTTCTTTACGTTAATTTTCCAACACTAAGTCCCACACTAGTTTTTGTTATGGCTTCTTCTTCCTAGACTTCTTCTTAGAGTTACTAGGCTCTTGCCTCTTTTATTTTGCTCCACTTTCACATAGATTAGAAATCTCTCTATCCTAACTTTTGCTATTTATTTTAACTTAACCACTAAAATAATTAAATAAAATAAATAAATAAATAAATTCATTGAATTCGAGACGTTATACGCACCTCTGCCACACACTTGCTACACATATCTACTACCAACACGAAAGGCACATACCGAAAAGCAATGCAACCTAAATAAATGCTAAGAATGGTAATGTGGTATATGATATATGAGCTGATTTTTAAATGCATGTGTTTAATGAATCCAAGAGCATAAATCCTCGTAATGGCATATAGAAATGCTGATATGCAGAAAGAAAGCAAGGAAAACGAGAGGTGTTGATTAAAAACGAAACACTACCCATGTAAACATGGAACTTGCAAGTGTATAGGAAACTTACATCAGTGGAATATCAAGATCTGATGTATTGGATGCATGCAAAGATATTGCCTTGGAGTTATGTTATGCAACGTAATTTTTGAGATGCATGGAATAAGGAAAAAAGTTAGAGATAGGCCAGAGCTTCTCTCTATCTAGATTCCAAGCAAATCGAAAAATATTGTAATACACTATTACGTAGCGTTGTGATTTATGAATAAGTCACGAAATAGTTTTTATGAGTATTTCGAAATCCTGATAAAAGTAGGTAAAAACATATAAATGAAAATAAAATTGAATCTGATCAAGCATGCCAGAAACAACTGACAAATCATACCTTGATTCACAGAATTTCCTGCATCAATGAGATGTTCATCGGATACATCACGTCTCAAATACAACCATATATCATTCATTGTTACACATACATAATTTAAACATGCTATTACAACAACAATAGATAGAATGTTGAGCTTTTAACATATGCACAACTTTCTGCACTTCAAGGATCCACAAAGACAAGGATATCCTTCTCCACCAACAAACTCATACTGATAACTATATGTCAACTCTTCACCCAAAGCAATCTGTTATCCAGAAAAACAGTCAAATATTCATAATCATGCATTGCAATTTTTCATTCTTATAAACAAGAGAGTACTCACATCTCTATTTGCATAAAGACCAATATGTGCATGCTCACTATTTATGCTCTCTATAAAAACTTGGTAATTTGCAAGATTCGGTGAACAACTGCAATAACCATAAGATCAAGCCACCAATTATTTTTCAAGTAAATACCATATATTTATGCACTAAATCTTTGCTTACCTGTTATTAATGAATCTAGACACATTTCCATATCGAGTAGAATCAATAATGTATCTGCGGGCATTTCCTTCGGTAATTCCACTCATATCATTACTGTGAGCACCAATGTCATAGAAATATTCACCGTTTTCTGTTCCATATCTGGTACAGACACAAACCTAGTAAGTATATCAAAGAAGACACACCAAACAACAAAAATAAATTCGAACCTTTCTCGTCTTTTGTGCACCTCCGTCTTTTCTACAACTTCTCCAATATACTCACACACGAACGTTCCACAAAGAATGTCCTCGCCAGCCCTAACTCCCCATCCCTAAAAATCAAATAAAAATTGTTAGCATAATAAGTCTTTTGAGTAATTTTGAATTATTTATCAATGAAGAACAGTGGCAACCTTTTCCTTTGTTTTAAAGACTTCCAATTTAACTTGAACTCCCTTCTGCAATATTCTGTTCTGGCATGTTTTACTACATCTGCACAAATTGTTACACTCGTACACAGAATAACCTTCCTGTAGTTTTGTAGAGAAATTCACAACTACTTAGTTTTTGAATACAATGCTAGCTAGGTTACAATTAATTAAAGTATTTTACCTTCAACATGAGTCGACCATTTTTATTGTATGGGAACTTTCCGTGCATTGGTTTCCCGAATATATCTTTGGCATTATCAAGACCATAATCGAAAAGGTATATATGATCACACGTTTTACGACAACATGAAGAAGAGGAGCAAGAACATCTCATTTGCAGGCTCTCCTAATAAAAAAAAAGGTTAATTATCGTTAAAACAATTATAAGGATAAAGCTTTGTGATTTGTTTTTCGAACAAAGAAACATTAAGTAAAAGTTAAATACCTCGTGATTGTGACTAGGAAATCGATCAAGCATCTGTTTTGTCACATAAGAAAAGCATTCCCAAGGACTAGGAAGATTTATGTATCGCTCTTTCTCGAAAAGAGAATTCAGTATTTCTTGATCCAATACACAAATTACCGGAGTTGATTCCTTCCCAAAGCTTATGTCTTCGCATAAAATTATAGCCTTTTGCAACGAACCCGAGTGTGGACTATTGACAGAGTGAATCTCATCCTGATGCGAATTCTCAAGCATTTCTCTCCGACTGCAATCTCCTGTTGCCTTCAAATGACGTCTTTCTGGCAAATATCCAAATTTCTCCTTCAACGAAGCTTCGAGGTTAACTTCGCAAGAAGTTGTGGAAGCAATCGGTAAAATATTGAGATTGTTAGTTTGAGGTTCTTCCAAAGAAGCTTCGTTTTCATGCTCAATCATGCTTGGAGAATCATCTTCAGTTGTCAAAGTTAGTGGATTAGGAACTCTGGTTACCTTGAATTCTGAAGAGTGAACTGACCTAACATGCAACCATAATTCATCCATAATTCCAAAATTGCCACCACAAGCATTACATTTCAAAAGCAAGCAGTGTTTGATGAACTGCACATGATGTCTATTCTGAACATGCGATTTCAAAAGTTTCTTGTTGGTGAAGGAATCAAGACAAATTGCACATGCATAACTCATGAATAACCAATATGCTTCCCTTTCATGATTTTCCATCCAATGGTTACAAAGTGATCGGTCATCGGAAAATTCTTCAAAACATACCTTACACTTAACTGCATTATCATTATCATCATCATTGCGATTAGGAGGAGACTCTATCCATTGAAGAGCCTCATTGTGATCATTACCAGAAAGTGTGAGTGTTTCTCCGAAGATGTTCCTTGCAATGAAATAATCATCCTTAATGACCGACACCGGATCAATATCCAATGGACTTTTCGGAGGTGCCACACCTAAGTCTTCGCGAACCCTTCTCTTTGAAGTCGAACCACTGAAGTTTACTCTTGGTTTCCTTTTCGATCTACGACGTTTTGAATTTGAACTATTGTTTGTCTTAACACTGCTCAAATGCTTTCTGCAGAATGAAAAGCCAGCAAGTGAGTGATGCTTGCATTTAGAACCAGCCACAGTTGTACCTCCACACATAGGCGTAGGAGCTTTAACTTGTTTTTCAGGTTTTATTGAGAAATGAGCAAAACAATATTTATCACTACCAATTACTTGTCTCCTGCATTGCCTTCCCTTGGCTTTGATAAACTTTCCGCACTGTCGACTCTTATTATTATCAGGTTCTACAAATAATTCAATAGCCTCTTCGTCATCCATAGGCATTTCCTCATCACCCATAGGCCTTTCTTCATCTTCCATGGGCCTTGATACCATTTCCGTGATGGGCGAAACATCAGAATCTACACCCTCGACTCCAATATCACTCAATTCATTCATAAACTGACTAGGAAACTCAGTTTCCATGGGCACCTCCACGGTACTTTTATGCGTTGAAGGTGTGCATGGACGAAGCATTTGAAGTTTAGGCCTTTTAAAACCAGCTTGAAAGCTTGTTTGGCACAATCCATAAGAACTAGAAGCATGTGGCTGCGAGCCGTTACTGCTGGAAACCAAAGGATTTCTTGAAAACCATTTCATTACATCATGCTTCCAATTTTTCCATACATCACCTAATTTTGGTTCTGGTGCTACATTCCAGAGACCGAAGACATCATTCCACAAAATGCAATCAACCAATTCCTAAACAACAGAATAAAAAAATTAATCAAACAATTATTTTAGAAGAAATATTTGATATCAAAATTATAAATACCTCATTTATCATCTCAATTTCTTCGGCAGTTTTTGCCATCTCGCATCGATAAGCCCAAGACTTAGAACAATGCAGTTTCCAATCAGCCACTATATAATGCTGCATTATGCTCTATAAATGAAAAAATATACAACATTGTTACTAAATAGTGACAACAGGAAATTTGCAGCTACTTATACTATATACCCGTAGGGGTATATATTGAAAATAAAACCAGAAGCACCTTTCTTTCTTTCTTTATGACAGAAGAACTATTTTTTATTTCACTCTTACTGCTTCCAAATGAGAATACAACCAAGTCTTTATATAGACCCAAGACTCTACTATTCTAGGAATTAAAATGCAATTCAATTCTTATTAATACATCATTAACCTTTAGGCTTTTCATAACTAACATCTCTTGGCCTTTCATAACTGACATCTAAAATTAAAACTCCCTTAAAATAACATTTAAGGTTTATTCAACAAATCTCCCCTGTAAACTTAAATGTTTCTACCATCTGTCATGCCTATTAATTTCTTCCCTCTGTCGAAAACTTCTTTCGATAATAGTTTTGTGAAAATGTCTGCTGCTTGATCCTTGCTTGCTACATGATTCAATTCGACACTTCCTTCCTTCACATGTTCGCGAATAAAATGAAAACGAACATCGATGTGTTTGCTTCTTTCATGATTCACTGGATTCTTTGCTAACTCAATTGCTGATTTGTTGTCCACTTGTATTACTGTTGCATCTATCTGTTTTAGCTCCATTTTGCTCAACAATCTTCTAAGCCATATTGCATGACAAACACTCCAAGATGCTGCCACATATTCAACTTCACATGTCGAAAGCGTTACTATCGGTTGCTTCTTGGAAAGCCAGGTAAATGCAGTGTTTCCCATAAAGAACACATATCCTGAGGTGCTTTTTCGATCGTCTATATCTCCACACTAATCACTGTCAGAATAACCAATCAACTTGTAATCTTCTGTTCTTGAGTAAAACATTCCAAGTGACATAGTTTCTTGGATGTATCGAAGAATTCTTTTCAATGCCTTCCAGTGTGTATAGACCGGTTCCTCCATGAAACGACTTACAATTCCGACACTAAGCGAAAGATCTGGCCTTATACATGTGAGATATCGAAGACTTCCTACCAAACTTCGATATTTACTTGCTTCGACACGTTCTCCTCCATCAAATTTCGACAACTTTGCACCTGGTTCCATTGGCGTCGAAATCGGATTACAACTTTCCATCTTATATTTTTACAAGATTTCTTTTGCATATTTCTCCTGTGAAATAAAAATTCTCGTTTCTTCTTGTCGAACCTCCAAACCAAGGAAGAATTCATCAGACCTAAGTCTGTCATCTCGAATTCACGTGTCATGGTGCCCTTGAATTCTTCTATCATCTGATCATTGTTACTCAAGAAAATTAGATCATCAACATAGAGAGCAACAAGTAACATATTACCTCCATTCTTCTTTATATATAGAGCATGTTCGTAGGGACATTGCTTGAAACTATTCTCTTTGAAGTATGTGTCGATGCGTGTATTCCATGCTCGTGGTGCTTGCTTCAACCCATAAAACGCCTTCTTCAATTTTAGCACTTTTTCTTCTTTTCCGACTTTCATGTATCCGGGTGGTTGTTCGATGTAAACTTCTTCTTCGAGCACACCATTTAGAAATGCTGACTTGACATCCATTTGAAATATTGGCCATTTGAATTGAGCAGCTTGTGAGATGAGTAATCGAATTGTCTCCATTCTTGCAACGGGTGCAAATATTTCGTCATAGTCAATTCCTACTTTCTGCTTGTATCCCTTTACAACAAGTCTCGCCTTATACCGTTCTATTTTGCCTTGAGCGTTCATCTTTTTCTTGAATACCCACTTCACACCAATGGGTTGAGTGCCTTTTGGTAATTCTGATAGTTCCCATGTGTTGTTACGTTCAATTGACTTAATCTCTTCGTTCATGGCAGTTTTCCATTTTTCGTCTCGCAATGCTTCTTCGAGGCTAATGTTTTCAGTATCTGCCAAAAGACATACAAGGTGTACCTCTTCTGTCATATCATACAAATCTTGCAGACTTCGCATTCTGGGTTGTAGTGGTTCATCTTCATTGTCAGAGTCTTCAAGATCTGTTGAAATGCTTGTTGGTACAGCAACTGATGATTCTCTATCTTCGACGATGACATATGTCGAACTGTTCCAGTCCCATTTGCTCGTTTCATTTATTCGAACGTCTCTACTCACTATCACCTTCTTGCTCATGGGATCGAATAGCCTGTACCCTTTTGTTTTTTTCATCATACCCAATGAATATGTACTTCTGACTTTTGTCTTCGAGCTTCGTTCTTTGTTGATCCGGTACGTGTGCATAAGCCACACTACCAAATATTTTGAGATGAGAAACTGTTGGCTTCTGTCCGCTCCATGCTTCTTGTGGTGTTTGATCTTCTAACTTTGAATGTGGAGATCGATTCTGAACATAAATGGCACATTGTACCGCTTCTGCCCAGAATTCTTTCGACATATTCTTGCTCTTTAGCATTGATCGAACCATATCTAGAACTGTTTGATTCTTCCTTTCCGCCACACCGTTTTGTTGAGGTGAATATGATGCAGTTAGAAATCTCCTTATGCCCTGCTCTTCACAATAGCTCATAAAGGCTGTCGAAGTATACTCACCACCTCTATCAGATCGAACAGCTTTGATGTGTCTGTCAGTTGCCTTCTCCACCATTACTTTGAACTTTTTGAACACCTCGAATGCTTCAGATTTTTCTTTCAAGAAATAAACCCAAGTCTTTCGTGAGAAATCATCGATAAAAGAAATGAAATACCTTTTGCCACTGAAAGATTCCGGAGTGATAGGCCCACATATGTCGGTATGAATCAGTTCGAGAATATGTTTAGCTTGATATTCCACCTTCTTTTGAAATGAGGTTCTTGTTTGTTTGCTAAGCACACATTCTTCACAAAAATCTCCCTCGTAGTCGATGTCTGGTAGCCCGTGCACCATGTTCCTTTTCGCTAACCTCCTCAAACCAGCATGATGTAGATGACCAAAACGTAGATGCCATAGTGACGCTTTATCTTCGATATTTACTTGCAAACATTTTTCTCGAACACTTCTCAAGTTCAGTTTGTACATTTGATTTCTCCCCTTTCTGACTTGAGCAATTAGATGCCCTTTCTTGTCCTTCAAGTGTAATATATGATCTTTCATGAGTATCGAATAACCTTTTTCTGTGAGTTGCCCCAAACTCAAAATATTGGTCTTTAGATCTGATACATAATAAACTTCTTGGATTGACCCAGTCAAGTCATCCTTCTACAAGTAACAAATTGTACCTTTGCCTTCGACCTTCACTTTCGATGCATCTCCGAAAGATACGTGACCATCTTCAATCTTTTGCAATTCTTTAAACAAATGTTTGTGACCACACATATGATTACTTACCCTTGAGTCGAGATACCACATATTATCATTTTTCTCGTCTACTTCCTTTTGAGTCATCAACAGAAAACCTTCATTTTCTTCGGCTTCCAAAGCTAAATTGGTTATTTCTTCTACCAACTTTTCGACTCGACAATCTTTTGCAAGATGTCCCACTTTACCACAGTTATAGCATTTGTAGGAGTTGCAATCATTTGCATAATGACCGTACTTTTTACATTTGTAACATTCGATGTTGGAGTGGTTCGACCGACCACCTCTTTGTCCACGTCCTCTGCCACGCTAGTTTTGTTGGATTGACTATCCTCTCTCGAAGTTGCTGCCTCGACCACTTCGACCACTGTCACGACCTCCACGACCACGTCCTCTACCTCTAAAATTTTGAGAGTAGAGTACCTTTTCATCTTTGATTGACTCCTTAGTTTTGTGTGCTTCCTCGACTGCTTCATCCTTCTTTTTCATCTTACGTTGTTCGTGTGCTTCGAGAGAACCAGTGAGCTCTTCGACTGAGAGCGTTGAAAGGTCCTTCGACTCTTCTATTGCACACACAATATTCTCAAATTTGTCTGTTAAAGATCTCAGAATCTTTTCGACAACTCGGGCATCAGTCACCGTTTCGCCATTTCTGATGAGTTGGTTCACCATTGTTTGTACACGCGTGATGTAGTCAGATACTTTTTCTGACTCCTTCATCTGCATCCTCTACAATTCGCCACGAAGGGTTTGGAGTCGAACTTGCTTCACTCGATCTGCTCCTTTGAACACTTTTTCTAACGTGTCCCATGCTTCTTTCGACGTAGTCGAACCGACAATTTTTTCAAAGCCTGATTCGTCAACTGCTCGGAACAGCATGTACAATGTCGTCTTATCCTTTGATCGCGTTTCTTTCAATGCCTTGTTTTGAGCTGCCGAATATCCCGCAGTGTCTGTTGGTTCTTCAAACCCATCTTTGGTCACCTCCCACGCGTCTAGAGATCCAAGAAGAGCTTTCATTTGGATACTCCAATTTTCGTAATTTGACTTCGTTAGTCGCGGCAACGACATTTGATTCGTCATGTTTGTCATAAGCTCTGATGCCAATTTTACAACAGGAAATTTGCAGCTACTTATACTATATACCCGTAGGGGTATATATTGAAAATAAAACCAGAAGCACCTTTCTTTCTTTCTTTATGATAGAAGGACTATTTTTTATTTCACTCTTGCTGCTTCCAAATGAGAATACAACCAAGTCTTTATATAGACCCAAGACTCTACTATTCTAGAAATTAAAATGCAATTCAATTCTTATTAATACATCATTAACCTTTAGGCTTTTCATAACTAACATCTCTTGGCCTTTCATAACTGACATCTAAAATTAAAACTCCCTTAAAATAACATTTAAGGTTTATTCAACAAGTAGTTGTGAAATTTTTAAACTACTAGTAGAATATAAGCTTAAGAAATAGAACTCACATTTTGCAGTCCCTGAACCATTCTTCCAATATCTGAATAGCTTTTAGAATCAGAAGCTTCCATAGCAAATTGCTTCCAAACCATTATATTGCGAGCATCTTCGATTAAAGCCTATATGTAATATAAATAAATAAAGAAAACAAATATTTCAAAGTAATAAATAGGAAATGTAAAAGAAGAATATGATATGAGCAAGAAGAACATACTTGAGAATGAATTTGTTCTTTAATATTCATCATCTCAATGACGAGGTTTTGCATTGTGAACCGTCGAGCAATAGTCAAGTCTTGTACAGTTTCCAATCCATGTTGATGAGTTTCATATGCTATAGGCTGAGGAAATTCATCAATTGATTGAACAAAACGCCTTTTAACCCAAGAATAATTTTTTGCAGATGGAGAAAAAATATTGAAATATTTGTTCTTATCATCATGAACTGGTTTGTCTTTCTGAGTTGACACTGGCAAATCATCTTTTGCACATTTTATTCCTGCATGCCACTTCCCTTTGAACTACAAAGACAAAGAAATACAAAATTAACATACATTGCTTTATATTTTCCTTATTTTCTAAGTTTCTCAATCAAATACTTGTTTCAACTACTGAAAAAATCAAAATTAAACAAAGCCATCAACATAATGTTAACAATTAAATTATAATAGACACATAAATAAACGTACCTTGAACCAAACAGCAATAGGCTCATCAATCTCTAACCGTTCTAAAAACGATAATTCTTGCATGCTAGGAACATCCCATTGTAAAATATCGGGTTCGCAATTTTCAATACAAATAGATTCGTCCATATTTGTATAAGTTATCGATTAATTTGACTTCTTGAGCAACCAGATCCTCTGAACAATAACTTCTCCAAGCTAATGACTGTTCCAATAAAGATTATGCATGAAAAAAGCTAGATAATATGGTGTCTAATGGAAGCTGAAAAATGGATAAGAAATCTTTCAAAGAATATATAAATGCAGTTAATGTACCTTAAAGAAACTGAGGGGAGAAATTTATGTACAAGTGATTTGAGGATTATGGGAGTGATGACTGAAGTTGATGAGAAAAAATATTCTTTTAAATTTGTATGAAAAATGTGATTAACATAAAATTGAAGGTTCTATCCATATTTGACTAAATTAAAATTTTGATTTCATTTTTATAATTTTTTTTTTATTTTTCTATTTAAAGGGATTTTATTTATGGTAAAAATAAAAGATGTTGAAAATGTAAATGGTGTAGGGAGATGAATGAAGGAAAATGTAATTGGTAAAAATTGTATAATAGTCTATAATTTATTAGTAAACTTTTACTATTTTTGTTCAATGAACATAATGGACTCTACAACATTGTACAATGGGGAGTTCATTGGTATAAAGGTTCTAATTATTTTATGAAGAAAATAGGAAAAACAATAGAATTGTGATAATTTAGGAAAATATTCCGACAACTTTTGCACAATACATATAAAAACTAAACCCTATCCAATTCAACTTATAACACTGATAAATTGTAATATATATATATATATATATATATATATATATATATATATATATATATATATATATATATATATATATATATATATATATATATATATATATATATATATATATATATATATATATATATATATATATATATATATATATATATATATATATATATATATATATATATATATATATATATATATATATATATATATATATATATATATATATATATATATATATATATATATATATATATATATATATATATATATATATATATATATATATATATATATATATATATATGAAAAATAGAAATTAAAAAATTAAACAAAAAAAACCATTAAAATAAGGCAACAGTTACAACTCTCCAATTCAAAATAATCATTAAAATAATTTAAAAGAAAAATACATTTAAAATTTGCTAGATATTATATTAATATTTAATTTAATAACTAAAACACTGAATAGAACGCACTCAAAAAATCCAACTTAAAATCACTTTTTTTTCTTATATATCATATCGAATTATTTTTTATCTTTTATAAATTAAATCTATTATAATTAAAATCACAATCAAAATCTAAAAGAGAATTATGAAAAAAAAATCAACCTCTAAACTTTTGATTATTCTATACGGCACAAAATCAACTTGCGATGTTCTTAACATGTAACAAAAATGATAAATTTTAATCAAATCTGTAATATTAAAAAATTAACAAATAATCGATCTAGATTAAAAAAAATACGCATATCTAAATAATAATTAAAAATACTGTAAAAATTACTATATAATTAAATAAATATAAAATTGACTAGATATTAGATTAATATTCAATTTAATAACCTAAACATTGTAGGTGAATAAATCGCACTCAAAAACCCTAATTGAATCCTCTTTATTTTTTTCTTATATATCACATCTAATTCTTTTTTATTTTTTTATAAATCTAATTTAATATGTTTAGCAATCAAAGTTTTATGAAAAATAATGAAAAAACTACCTCCTTTAGACTATTGCACATTCAACTAGGCACAAAATCAAGCTACCATATCTACTTGTAATACAATGATAAATTCTAATCAATCTAGGATAACAAAGATCTCATCTAGATTTGAAGAAATGTGTATATAAAAAAAAATTAAAAATCATTAAAATAAATTATATAATTAGATGGTGTAAAATTGGGTAACAATTATCTAATCAATACATGAAACTTTCTAACAAAATATAAATTACTGCACTATAAATGTTTTTTTTACAAAGATAAAGAACAGATCTTACCATTAAATTTGATGACAAAAGTAGCTGCAAGATAATTAAGATAGACACTGGCATACAATATTTTGAGAGTAAAATTAGTCTATTAGATTTGTATGAAAATGTTGTAAATATAAGATATGAATTCAATTGAAGCTAATGAAAAATGAATGAAAGATATATATAATGGAAATGATTTAGGGTTATAAAGTACTTTCTGTGTTTTGGGGGGAAAATAGGAAAGATAGAGTAGTGTGATGTGCACAATATTTTTTATTTTAATGGCGTTTTATTTTGCAAAAAATAAAAATAAAGTTAAAAGTGAATAGTGTAGGGGGATGTATGGAAATAAAAAATGGTAAATAAGAACAAGACAATAAATATTTTAATATGTTTATTTAATAAAAGTATATAAATAAATAAATAAATAAATATATATATATATATATATATATATATATATATATATATATATATATATATATATATATATATATATATATATATATATATATATATATATATATATATATATATATATATATATATATATATATATATATATATATATATATATATATATATATATATATATATATATATATATATATTTCAACATTTTAGAGGTTACATTTAAATTAATTTCAATTTAAGCATTTTAAAATAAATAAAAATTTTATTTAACTATATTTTATCTCTGATAAACACATTAATCACGATTTATTCGTAATAAAATTTTAATCATGTGTGGTCGTAGTCTGTTTTGTATGTTCTCAAAATAGGTGATGAATGTATAATAGATTTTAGAGAATATTATTGTGTTAGTGAGTGATTGAAAAAAAGGATTTTTTTCATGATGAAAATTAGGATAAATGATATAAATGTGATCATTTGTACTTATATTATAGTTTTAAAATATTAGTACATTATTTAAAGAGAAACCATCATTTTTTTTATTATACATTATTAATTTTAATATACTTTTATAAAAGTAATATAATTTGACTAAATATTATGTATTTAATATTTTATATATAGAAAACATATTTATTTTTAAGTTATTGATTTATATGTATAAATATTTTTATGTTATTGATTTATATGTATCGATTATTTATTTATATTAGTATATTATATTATTGGCAATGGTTAAACTCCATCTACACTAAAATATATATTTTTTAAACTCAGTATATTAAATAAAATGAGATTCTAGAGAACTATTAAAATTCAAAGATTGAAATATAAAAAAAAAAATAAAAAAAAAGTGACTAGGTTCAAACCTAAAATTGGATGTAAGTGAAACGGACGAAATATAAATAAAAAGTATGGATGAATTAAACATTGCCATAAATAATTCACTTAAATGTGCAGAAAATCCTCGAAAAGTAATGAAACTGACAACCATAATTTTGGCTCTACTTTTTTTTTATAGTAATCCTTGCGTATTATTCCCTCTATGTTCAATTTTAATTTAAAAATATACTGTTAAATATGTTTATAATTTTTATAAATATCTCAAATTTCATTCTTAATTCTTCATAATATTTTTTAAAGAATGATCTTTTTAAAAAAATCTCATCCATATTTTTAATCTTTAATATTAAAATTGTCGTTATATCAATAGTTAAATTGTAAAAATCAGTGTTAAATTACCTGAGAGAGCAAAAATGTAGATAAGATTTTTTGAAATGACCATTCTAGCATGAAGGACTAAAAACAAAATTTGAGATATTAATAGAATCACAAACATATTTAACCCAAAAAAAATACTAAAACAAATAAAAATACAATATGTTGTGATAAATTTTTAAATATTAAAAAAAATATTATCATAAAAAAAATCTAAAATCAAATATATATTTAATAAAGCATTATATATATTATATATATATATATATATATATATATATATATATATATATATATATATATATATATATATATATATATATATATATATATATATATATATATATATATATATATATATATATATATATATATATATATATATATATATATATATATATATATATATATATATATATAACATTAAAGATTTAGAGAAGCGGCACAAACTATACCTAAACAACCAGAAGAACATAAAAAAATTAAACAACCAAATAAGAAAAAAAACACAATAACTCAACCTAAAACAATAAAACCAATACAAGAATATGAAGTCGTGGAAAGAAAAAAAAATCAAGAGCACCACAAAAGATCACCAATTAGATCTTCCTAACCAAATACTTTATGGAAGAGTACATCCGACCAGTCATAGGGAGTTATAAATCATGTGGGTTCCTCAAGACGTAAAGAACTACCCTATGGAAGAGTACATGTGATCCAAAGTGCAGATACATTCAAAGGCTCCGCGCATCACACGCCTAAAAAATAAAGGATTGTTATATCGGCTCAACTATAGAAAGAAAATTTCATTCACTCTTCTCATTCACATACTGACTTGAGCGTCGGAGTGCTAGTCTTACAGGTCAGCCTGTCCTCCTTTGCATCGGAAGCTCAAATCATTATTCATCGCAACCACTGTCTCTTCAACAAATTTTGGTTCCATAACAGAACATTGACGTCAACTGTAGGAAAAGACTACTGATTTCCTTTTTATAATCGCACATTCTCTCTTTGATCCATCGATTCAAAACCTCTTTAATTTATCAATGAGCGGTCTCAAAGTCAAAAAATAGATGTAAGGTGTTTGACCTATTTGAGTAGCAAATCAACCTTGATTTTTCAGATTTTCTAGACTAATGACTCCAAAACCTTTCAACAATGGCTAGATCTAAAGCTACTCATCATTTCGCCGCTCTGTGCAAAAGTAGTTAACGCTGCCGCCACTGTGAAGAAGACATGTTCATCCTTATTATCTTGTTTGATGAAGATAAAATTTCCATCCTTCATTTTTAACTTAGAAATATTTCTACATTTTTATTGAGTCAATCAATTGTCTTGAGGAAACAATCCATTGTCAAAACTCATTACACTCACTGCCAAACACTTTTCTTTAAAATAGAATTGAATCAAT